CGAAAAGGCACGTGGGACCGCGATGTCGGCGACAAGCAAGTCAATTCCCACCGTTTTCCCCCTTTTCCGTCCATTTCCCAAGTGCTTCCCCCCTTCCCCCGCCGCTCCCGCCATTCTCCTCGTCAGATCCGGCTGCCATGCCGCCGAAGAAGTATGCGTCCTCTCGCCTAGCCACCGATACCACCCAGCCGAAGCAGAGGAAGCCGAGGGCGGCCATGGCAAGGCCACCGGGCTTGTCGAACACCGAGTGGAAAGCGGACGTCGAGCGCCGGGAGGCGGTCACCACCGATCGGCGGAACAGGCTCATCACCAAGAGGGCCAGGGACGCGGCGGCAGCGGCGAAACATGGAGAGGCGTCTCGCGTGGGGATGATGAACCTTCCGCCCGGCCACTGCCCGCAAGCCGCGTGGGGGAGCCAGCTGAGAGTCGCGTCGCTGGCCAACTTCTCGCCGCCACTATGGGGTTACACGCCCTCGCCTTGCTACTCCGACGGTGACGCACATGGCGGCTTCAACCCCAGCATCACCTTCCCGCATGGTGCGACGCCGCGTGCCTTCCCCTCCGGTTTCAACCCCGACCCGCGCACTCCCTTCCCGGCGTTCACCGCCGGCCTTAGCACCCAGTATGCTACTCGCCACCGGCGTACTCAGGCTCGCCCGCGCCGCTTCTCCGTCGTGGCGCCCTACACTTCGCACACGGCTCGGCGCCACAGTTCAGCAACACCGACGCCAACATGGACGAGATCATCACGAGCGGCTCGGGCGCCGTTGCTTCGTGCCCCGGGTTCCGCGCACAAGACGAAACGATGGACACCGCCATTGAGGGAGTCCTGGATTAGGGGGTAACCGGACAGCCGGACTATATACTTTGGCCGGACTGTTGGAGCGTGAAGATACAAGACTCAAGACTACGTCCCGTGTCCGGATGGGACTCTCCTTTGCGTGGAAGACAAGCTTGGCGATCTGGATATTATATTTCCTTCTTTGTAACCGACTCCATGTAAATCCTAGCCCTCTCCAGTGTCCATATAAACCAGAGAGTTTAGTCCTTAGAGGGACGATCAGAATCATAATCATCATAGGCTAGCTTCTAGGGTTTAGCCTCTACGATCTCGTGGTAGATCAACTCTTGTAACACCCATATCATCAATATCAATCAAGCGAGAAGTAGGGCCCGAACCTGGGTAAACATTGTGTCCCTTGCCTCCTGTTACCATTAGCCTAAGACGCACAGATTGGGACCCCCTACCCGAGATTCACCGGTTTTTACACCGACATTGGTGCTTTCACTGAGAGTTCCTCTGTGTCATCGCTGCAAGGCTTGATGACCCCATCAATCATCAACAACAACATGGTCCAGGGTGAGACTTTTCTCCCCGGACAGATCTTCGTGTTCGGCGGCTTCGTACTGCGGGCCAATTTGCTTGGCCATCTGGAGCGGATCGACAGCTACGCCCCTGGCCACCAGGTCAGGTTCGGAAACTTGAACTATGCGGCCGATATCTGCGGGGACTTGATCTTCAATGGGTTTGGGCCTGCGCCAGGAGCGCCGGACAGTCACGATGAGCACGGCTTAGACCTGCTGTCGGACAATGCTCGGGATATCGCCCCTGCAGAAGCTCTGGACCTAAATCCGGATCAGATTGTGTCGCCCGAGGACGGATGGATGGACCCCGCCCCGGAGCCCGCACACTCATCGGCGGTAGAGCCGAACACAGACTTCACCCCCCAAGGAAGCCTGTGACACCGGACCCTCGGACTCGTATCCGGCCGTAGGTTCCGGTCCGCACACCTCCGAGCCTGCCGAATCTGGTTGGGCTTCGGTAATGGAGTTCACCGCCGCGGATATCTTCCAGCACTCGCCCTTTGGCGACATGCTGAACTCGTTAAAATCTCTCTCTTTGTCAGGAGACTCTTTGCCGAACTATGTCCGGCTCGAGTGGGAAGCAGGCGACGAAGGAATTCGTTGCCCACCCACCACCCACTTCATTGGCACGGTCGATGACTTAACCGACGTGCTTGACTTCGACTCTGAAGACATCGACGATATGGACGACGATGCAGAAGAAGAACAGGAACCACCGCCTATGGGGCGGTGGATAGCCACCTCCTCATATGATATATATATATATATGATGGACACTCCGAAAGAAACCAATGGCGATGAGGCAATGGAGGATAACCCCTCAGGGAAGAAAGCTAAGCATGGGCGTCGTCAACGCCGCTCCAAGCCCCGCCACAACAATACCGGCACATGAGACGAAAACAATCCGGATGGTGCCGAAGATGAATACAATCCTGATCAGCCTGCCTTCAAACAGGCCGGACTGGCAACAGACGGATACTTGGAGAGGGACAACTATATGCCCCCTCCGAAGACGAGGTGAGCCTCGGTGATGATGAATTCGGCGTGCCTGAGGATCCCGCGGAACAAGTTCGCTTCAAGCGACGGCTTATGGCCACTGCGAGGAGCCTGCAAAAGAAGCAACAACAGCTCAAAGCTGACCAAGATTTGCTCACTGACAGATGGACCAAGGTCCTGGCCACCGAGGAATACGGACTCGACCGCCCCGACAAAGGGCACACACGGAACAATTCGCTACCTCAACCTAAGAAGGAGAACCTTAAGCACATACCCCGACGCCAACATACCACCACGGTCCAGGACAATACACAGGAAACACGAGGTGGCATCCTCAAGCCTCGGCACAATCGTCATAAACGTCAAGCCAGGGAAGTTGGTGCCAAATTCAGCGGCCCCCAGTCCGGTCAGCAGAAAAAGAATAGCTCAGGCCCATCCGGCCCAAGCAGCATACTCGATCAACCATGTGAAATTCATGGTACCCCCAGAAGGGCGGCCAAGCACACCAATAGAGAATGTCGGATCCTCAAAACAAAACTGCCGATCGCGCGCCGGAAACAATGAAGGGAGGTCTCAAACAACGAAAGACCGATCAAACATGGTGAGGTCAAAGGAAGATCCCCCCACAGTACAAAAATATGGTCGATCGTCTCTAATCACATCGACCGTCCGGACAACGTCAGCCATAGCAATTTTATTGCACTCACTATCTACCCAATAGTTTGGGGGCTCCATCCTACACGAGCCCCCACGGGCATAAAACTATCAATAACATCTCCTCAAAAGATGCCAGGCGCAAAGGCCAAGTTTTAACTGGCCCACCATACTAATGGTTGTCTTCGGATCACCAAACAAATACCACGCCGAAGAATAAGTCTTCGGCATCGTCCCCTTATACAGTAATTACCACATACTACCGGGACGAACCACATTGGCTAGATTCAACGAGGTACAACATCAGGCCAGTACCGCGTGACATAGTCACAATTATGGGCAAGGCCGAACCCCACCCTTAGAGCGGAAATCATACCGCTGCCGGAATAGCGAGTCGTGCCTGTTTATCAAATTTTGATTCGGCAGCTAACTACCCGGACACCAAATGAGGAGTCTGCGCTATTTTACGGAATGACAACCTGGTTTAGCCAGGCTCCAATTAGGCACCCGCGGTTCATCCACAAGAGGACATGCAGCTGCCTTCAAGCATTTTCCTTTACAGATTAACTTTGGCGCAGAACAGGACTGGTGACGTGGAATCAGCTCGGACACACAAGAGCATGAACACACAAGTAAATCCCCCCCCAAAGGAGGAAGTCCGGATTCACTTCAGATCCACACACAGCCTCCTCCAGTCCGGCCACGACAGGTTCCGCCAAAAACACCTCTTTTCATAACCATAAACCGTACTCATATGCATAGACATGTCATCCTACTACAGTGCGTAGATTTAAATAACACTTACCGGCTGTCATTCTTCATTGACGCCGTTTTTTGCCATAAACGGCACCCGTACATCATATTATGCCCCACTATGCCAAGGGGCTTCATAATACTCATAATACGGTAACAAAGTCCAGCCACCTTTCCGGTCGCT